GGGATTGTTCTGTTTGGGGGAATAGAAGCTTTTTTTAAAAATGAAAAGTTTAAACATGAAAAGCTGTGCGATGCTGTCCGATGCTGATGCGATGCTGTCCGATGCTCTCCGATGCTGATGCGATGCTCTCCGATGCTGAGGGATGCTTTCCGATGCTAAGAAAGAAAAAGTCGCCTTTTCCCCCTTGGAATGAACTCTCATGCTATTCGCTGCAAAATTCTCTCCAACCGTATCACATCTCTCTCCTATTGTCTCTTGTACATTCGCCCTCTCTTTATTCATTGCACTACATATGCATATTGTACAGCACATGTTCTTGAGTATATTTACGAATAAACTCAGTAAAGGAGGAACGTTAGAATACTGGCATCGCTACTTTGTAGAGTGCGTATCATCTTACAGGCAGTAACTTGCTGTATATTGATATAAGCTTTATTCTCTCAGATTACAAGCGGAAAAATATCCCATTATAGTCCCAGGTAAGCAAAAGACGGGCGAAATGACTAGTCTCTCTTCCTAGTCCGGACGGCCGTACCGACTGGTCTTTACGACAAAAACGCCCCCGTCATGACTAGTCCAAAATTTTAACCGTTAACTAAAAGAAAACCGTCCGGAGTAGTGTCGCTGACTAAGTTTAACTTCTTTGTACTACTTACGAAACATTGTAGTGTGGCAGGTCGATCCATCTTGTGAAACCACTCATGTGATATCCAATTATGATAAACGAGCTAATCTTTGAGTATGTTGGAACTGTTGTAGCAGGTGCTAGAAAATATACGCAACTAATCTTTGGCTAGATAAAAGAAAAGAATCAAATAAATTTACTTTTGCAGAACAAACTGCAAATAACATACTCAAAGATTAGCCCGTTTATCATAATTGTTATCGCAATTAAAAAGGAAGCAATAAGAGTATTTAAAACGGATATTGATTGATATTTAACTATCAATCAATCGGAAGTGTATAACGGCTTTTTACTGTAATAATGCGTCAGTTGGCTATTCCGAGAAAGCCTGTACGTATACAGTTTAATGTTATATACATCAGAGGTGGGCGATGGACTGTTTTTAGCCCCTCCCCCGGGCTTTGCCGCGTGCAGTTCTTGCCTCGCTACCACCGAAAATGGTGAATTTTTCAAAAAGTAAAAAAATCTGAATTTTTTTTCACTTGCACAGATTGATTATTTTTATATTTGCGCAGTTGATATATACTGCTATGGGCGTCATCTATTTGCAGGAAAGCGTTTAAAGATTTCTTGGTTAAGATGTGGGAGCAGCATCCTTCAGGACAACAGGGGTCATCTTTGACCCATTCGGGATGAGTGATATGAAAATTAGTATTGTTCTGCAGATATTTTGTTTATTGATATAAGCTGCATCATTGTTCTTTTCGTTAGACCTAGACTTCAGAACACGAGCAGTTTATATTAGAAGAGCTCAAGGTGCCAACAGTGTCAAAAATCTATTTTTTCCATTAATTTGCAAGATTTCTAAACCGTAGGCATGCACTGTTTTTCTGGTTTTATACGTGGCCAAATAAACATACAATTACAAAAGACGCAACAAAAACCAAATAAGCAAAACATCAAATTTTCATTTCACTCAACTCGAATGGGTCGTAAATGGCCTATTCTGCTCCTCCGCAGTGAAAGAACTTCGCTCAAATTTAACCATACCGTTGTCATATTGAGCACCCACTTAAGCTATTCCTGCGATCAACTCAACACCAGATCTGCTGAATTAGCAAGGGGGCTAACGATTTAACGAGAGAATAGAAAAAAAAAGAGAGTATGAGAAAAAAATAAAGAGGAATAGGTAAAGAATAAAATGAGAGAGAGAAAATCCGCAAAAGAAAAGATGAAATAACTAGAATGTCTTATATACAGAGCACGTAATACGAAGACAGAATAACAAATAAAATAGGATAGAAATAGTCTTTACAATATACAACTGTCACTGTTAGAGCTGTAGCTTCCACTTGAGGAAACTGCAGTGTGCAAGGTAGATAAGGATAGGATGTTGAGAGCAGTAACTCTTTTAACGAATGAGTGAGCCATCGGTTTTGTCTGAGATGCTTTCTAGCATCTATTCCAAGACAAAGGGTATTCTGAAACTTTTCGAACCATATCGGATAGCAGATGGGTGGATGTAGTAGAGTATATTATTTCAAACATATTACCCAATGTCTTCAACGTGACCTTCTGTTGTAAACTTCCTATATTTTATAGAAGAGTCGGTGAAACGAGAATGTCTCGTAAGAGAGACTTCGCCGGTCACGACTGAAAAATTGACATATACTTTTTATTTCATATTCTGATTCTACTATTAAAACTGGGATTCATGTCGAGGTGGCACAGAGTCTTGTACGTTGGAAAGTTGTTGTGCTTGTTGGTACTGACAGAGACACAGCAGGTGTAGCGACATTAACAGGATTTGTTGTAATAACTTGTGATTTATTTGTTAACTTTCTAGATAATATGGTTTACTCACATTCCAAATATTTGATCAATAATATATACACTTCCAATTGTAACATTGCTGTTTAGTTATCGTTAATAAAGTATACCCTCCTCAATCATTTTAATCTTCGACGTGCATGCAATGGACCTTACAACACAGAGTGGACTCAAAAACTGTCTCTCCACAGTCTCCGTCCATGCTAAAACCATCACGCTCTTCTCAGGTCGTCCGGAAAATTCTACATACCGAGTTGATCTCGAACGTCCATATGAAGGATGCACGAGCGTCATAGTCAAACGTGTCGAACCCATTGTTTCTACTTGCAGATCACTAAAGCCTGGTGTTGAACAAATTGTGAGTGGTTTGCGTTGAATGTTTCTCAATAACAAAAAATCCTATAACAGCTTTTGGTTTTACGCCTTTGAATATAAAACACTCTCAAGAATCGCAAGCAATTCGGTCATATCAGTTGAGTCCAGCGTTCAAGTTCCAAAAGTCTATCACTTCGATGAAGTAAACCATGCATTAATTGTGCACGATTGTGACTCCTTGCCTACTCTCGAAGCTTTCGTTTCAGTTACAACACTAAGCAAAGAAATAGTTATGCAAATCGGACTAGCAATCGGTGAGTTTTTGGTGAAACTTCATCTATGGGATCTCGACGATGAAGTCTAAAAGCAACGTTTGAAAACAGCATCAAGCAAAAAATCTTGTGTAAATACTCGACATATAAATACACAATAAACTTGTGGGAAACAACAGGATAATTCTTGCTGTCAGGGATGGACTAAGAAGTAATTGCTCAAACTGCATCTTCAAGGTGAAGAAATTATGAAGAACAAAGAAACGTTCATAATGGGAGACTTTTGGCCGGGAAATGTTTTGATCCACATTGATCTTCAAACCACTACATTTCGAAGAATATACATTTTAGACTGGGAAGTGACCAAATATTGACCAACATTTCTCGGTGTCGGCAACTCTACAAAGGAACTTTACCTCTTAGCTCGATTCAAAGATCAGTCCACATTCAACACAATCTTGTCCTCCTTTCTAATGTCGTATTCGCAAACATACCGTCCAGATAAGAATCATGTCAAACATGTGGCGGTGCATTTCGGAGCGCATTTAGCTATATGGGCGCCAGGAGTCTCTTGGGAAAATGACGACGAAACAAGAGACTGTGTTCTTATTCGTGCTGAGTATCAGAGACCGAAACGGGTCGGGTCAATGTAAAAAATATTGGTTCCGGTCGGGTCGGGTTCGGGTTCGGGTTAAAGTAAAAAATACTGATTCGGGTCGGGTCAAAGCAAAAAAAATCTCGGGTTTTATTCGGATCTTGCTACTAGAACACAAATCAGGAGAGTTTCATCGGTTACAATTAACTCTTCTATTTTCAAACATATGTCTTTTTTATCAAAAAGAGAAATACAGTGTTTTTTCCTTTCTACTACGACGCTGTATAATGTACAGTCTCGTACTGTTAAAGCAAAGAAAGAAAAGAAAGATATATAGAAAAACGTGTTTAGTAATTCTCGTTCGTATACAGCATTGTTTTTTGATATATTTGTAACTAAATTTTTTTACCTTTATTGATAGACAGTTAGTTGACGACACTGCTTTTTTTGTTAAAAATGTTGCTAATGAATTTAACTATACTTCATCCAAAATAAGTACGTAGCTCTTCTATTAAGTAATTACTAGGGAATTAGAAGCGCAATCGGTTCTCTCGTCTAATCTTCACGTTGATTAAAGCGTGGGTGATTTTCGTATGTTGCTGTTTTAGCTACGCTCTTGAAATTAAAATCTGCACAATATGTTGTTGTTAATAATCCGAAAATAATAATAATAAGATCAGTTTAATTAGAATACAGCCGTATGAGATTAGACTCCGTTCACATTGTGAATCCTTGTTTTCTTTCTTTCCGTATTGTAGACAGAAAATAGAGACAAATAAAAAAACAGTACAGGGTAAGAAGAAAATTCTTGTTCGCGTGTAAGAAGGAATATAACAGGTGAGAAGTGACGAATAAAAAGCTTTTCTTATTTATCTACCCAGTGTGCTGACTATCCGGATTAACGTCGAGAAAATAACATCGTTAGTCAATCTAACGTTTTTGTGTTATCTTTTAAACATGTTGTTGTCCTAATTTAAGAGCTTTCTCAAACACGTCAATAGATGCTGTTAACACTTTACGTTTTTGCATTTGTGCGACTGGTTCCATCATCAAACCAAATAGCTCCGATGACGTGAACATCGTTAATAATTTTTTATCTAATGTCATAGCACATTTTGTAATAAACTGATAGTAGCAAATCATGCTAACATTATCGATAACACGTTGCTGAACAATTTTACAGTATGAATGTAAGGCGATTTGTAAATAAATAGCTGTCTCTTTCTCTGCTAATAATTCAACACGTAAACCGTCGAATTCAAATGGTACCGTTAGTGCAGCTCTTATTTCTGGTTTGACTGATGAGGAATTGTTTTTATTCGATTTTTCTTTGTGTTCATTATGTGCTACTTGAATTTTATCGATTAGCTCCAAATACCTTTCATTTAGTGTAAATGGACGTTGTTCCATTTCTAATAGTTCAGTAACACGTTTCAAACACTCTTCTTCAGCTAAAATAATAGAACAAGAACAAATAGGCATGCTATAAGAGTGAACTATTTTGTTTAAGCTGTCTTCTAATAGACCTGTAAGAGAAAGAGTCTTAAGCTCACCGAGAACTATTTGCGTTTTGATAGCATCTGGCAAATGTTGAATTAAACGTGGATACGTTGTATTGGAAAATATTTTATCAAACAAGAGTAACAAAACTTGTTCAAGATATTCTTTGACAATTTCAATTAAATCAGTACATGGTTTTTCCAATTTATGGTGTTCCCCATCGTACAAATGTACAAATAATTCAAATGAAATAAAATTGTCCAACCCAATACCAGACGATTCTTCAATCAATTTCATGACATATTGTGAATAGTTTTCTGTAAAAAAGTTTGAAAAACATGAAAAAATTTTTTCTTGACATTTTTTCTGAAACTTTTTCATATGATAAGCAATACGTTCATCAGATGATGTTGTTTGTGATGAGTCATCACTACTGTTCATTGCTGTGTGATAGTCATATTTTCCATTCACTTTTGAATGTATACTATCGCGATATAAGCTAATTAGTTCATTATATTTCGTCCAACAATCAATTTCCGATGTTAAAGCTGTTGGTAATAGTTTCAGTTCAGCTTTTTTCGCTTTGATTTGCTGTTTTATTTCTTCTATTATTTTCGGAAATGTTGATCGAATCCGTTGCTGTTGTATATTAACTAATTTCTTCACCAGTTGTTCACTACCTTTAAAATCCTCTGGTATATCATCAAATAGTGATTTTGTTTTGAAAAATATTTTCTCGCGGTTTTTCATTTCATCGAAACTAATATTTTCTTTAAGTTCTTTAAGATTTCGATTCAAAACGGCAACACACCCTAGCCGTAATGCCATTGCACCCGGTCCAATACCTTGTAATTTTTCTCCAATAGCTGAAAAATTAAAATTACCAGACATACTAAAGCTTTTCTACGTCGTATATATGTTGAATTGAATTCGTTGCCAGTAGCCTATTTTACCTTCATCACATTGATCAATTTTGCTAACAGCAATCAATTGCCGTTCACCATTTGGATCGTACGCTTTTGATAATTTCATCGATTCTGATCGTGTGAAATCTTCGGAGGCCGGAATAACATGTAAAACAATCGCTGTTTCCGGTTGGATGTACTTTGTTATCAAATGAACTATTTGATCGTGAATATTTTCGGATTGACCAGGCAGTGGATTTCGTGTAATGCCTAAAGAAATAGGGTGTAGAAGCGTAATATATAATTTTTAGCGACAGAGTAAACGTGCCTGGCAAGTCTATTAATGTCAAATCTGGGATCTTATGTTTGTGAACAGTCAAATAGATTGGTTTTGAACTAACGTCGCAGCCATCACCAGCTAGTGTTTTTGTCATTTCTATCACTTCTTCTTGAATATCATCAAAATTTGCTATTGTTTTTATTTCTTTGTTACCAAGGCATTCAATTGTTGCAAATTCTTCTTTACTTGTATCTTGTAATCGTTTTAAGCGCAATTCCAGTGGACAACGAGTACAAATATTACTGGCACGAGGTAATTGGACACCAGATAGTGCTTCCAAAACTGACGATTTTCCCTACAACAATCAATAGAGTATGTCGTCTTTTATATGTAAATCGAAAGACCACAATGAAGACTTACCACAGACTGATCGCCAACAACAACTATTTCTGGAAGTTTAATTTTTTCTGTATGTAATATTTGTCGCATCGCGTCAATTGCGGTCAATAAACGACGGGAATAATCGGAGTTTGAAAATTCGGCAGCTAATATATTTGAAATATTTCAGTTTTCACGATCTAAAACTTATAATTACATATTACCGCGGAGACTGTTGAATAAAACTCATAAATTAATACTACAAGAACAGACGAGCGAAATATGTCACGATTAAAAAGTCGGAACTCCTCAATACAAGAAATATGTTCTTTATATGCCTACTACAATCATTAAACGTGCCATGCAGTCACTCAGGTGTGTATCCATCATGCGTTAATATGAACTACTCTTACATACATTGTAAAGACACTCTAACGTTAAAGAAATATGATTTCTTTAACGTCTGTCATAGCTACCCTTTTTCAAAAAGCGAAAGAATAAACATCTCAGATGCTTTTCGCTTCCTTCAGTTTTGTATGCCATTCAATTTGCAATGCTCTTGTGTTGGCTTTCGGGTATTTTGCAAAGAATAAACTCATCAATCTGTATTTGCATTACACTTTCTAAAATAATTGAAAAACAACCATATATAACTGTGATTTCTCTTTTTACGCTTAAACTATATCAATGAGTTTACTTGTAGCATCAAATAAAAACATTAAATCCTCTTCTAAATTCTCATTTTTCAATAGCATTAACTCTTGAATAACGTCTGTAGTACTAACATAGCCGACATTTGTCTACAAGTATAATAAAAACATCTAACATGTACTGCTCTAAACAAATAAACTAGCTTGCAATGTGTGGATGTTTACCTTATCGTATATCGAAAATAGTTTTGTACCGTGCATATGCGATTATTATCATCATTATCTGAAATATAAACTAATATAGGTAAATTCGCATGATAAAATTTGATGCACAACCTACCTTCAAGATACAAATATTGCAATATAGTTCTTTTAAGTTTCCAAATAAGATATATTTCTGATGGAAATAACTTCTGACGTAGTCCTCGAATTTTCGATGCTCTCATAAAGTTACTCTTAAACATATGAAAAAAGTCACACTTGAAACGCACAGTTTTATAAGATGTTATATTTATTTTTAAACTACAAATAATATGAAAAAGCGTTCACGAAAGTTTGGCGGATAGGTTTTTGTTTTGAAATTTTTCGACTCTTTTAGTATAATTCATTCTTATGGTCCATAGTATCACTCTCGTTGGCGCTTAACGCGGCACCAATGGTTAGACGCCGTAACACTTATCGTATCAGATATAGCAAAATTCAGTGAAATTAGACTATTGTTTTAACTGCAAATATTAAAATTGAAGTCAGCACGCTCCAGCGCGTAGAATAAGTCAAAAAAAGCGCTTTTCCGACGCGTTTTGAATAAACTGACGAGTACACGTGGAAATAGCGTCAATCCCGAAAGCTAATGGTTCATTAGTTAATTTTCTTTAAATTCCGATTCATTACTACTCAGACTTTTCGAGAACATGTAATCATGCTTCTCAACACAAAAAACTATATGTATGCGGCAGTGGAAATTGGAATTCAGAGGAATTCGGAATTCCACTAGTGCAAATTAGAATAAAGTGATTATTCTAATTTCAACTAGTGGAAATTGAGATTCTAATTTCGGCTATAGCGGAATTGCGAACTCCACTAGAAATAAAAATCATACAGATTATTCTAATTTACACTATAGCGGAAATCAGAATTTACTGTATTTTATTTATTATATATTATTTATATATTTATTTTACATTCACTCATGAATGTAAATAACAAGAGAAAACTGCTAGAGATCTGTCCTAGTGCAATCGAAATAAAGAAAAAAGGAAAAAATATACACAATATGCCTTTATATTACTTTATATCACCAAGGCAAAAACCTAACAGAATCACTAAACGTTTGAACAAACGTTTCTTTTACTGCTTTTCCAAGGTGTTTAAAAGACTCTTTTAACGCGTGTTTTGATCTTTAAAAACGCGTTTTAGGGCCAATTTTTCTAACTGGTTTTCCACTATGAAATTCAGGCGATTTTCTCGACTTAGATATGTACAACAGCAGCAATGCCACCGCATATAATATTGGTGCAACCAGCGAACTTGACAGATCAACCAATACCACCATAACTTCTGTTGAAGTTTTCCAATGAGATGCAAACAGTACCAATGCATCTGCCAGAAACATCTAATGAAGGTAGTTTCTATTTATGCTTCACTTATATTCTTCCTTATGGGTTATTTACTATTTGTTCAGATTTGAACGATAATTTAATTACTGATGTTCCACCCACTTATTTCAATCCAACAAATCGTCATAAACGTATTCGAGATGAAGCCGAACAAAATTAGTGGAAAACCATTGAAA